AGGCAAGACAGGTTAATCCACTGATGGAAAGTGGAATATTGTTCCCCCGTTTCGAGAATGCTTAACAGTTTGAATAAATGAAATTTATACTACAGGAAGTCGCCTTACTAGTGAGAGTCTGATTCCAAGACAGGATCAAGGGGAAAAGAAAACAAGAACATCTTATAATTACCTCAAACATTTATATGGTATGTATAATAATACTTTAAAAAATAAATTCAAACCCAGGAAGAATAAGAATACCTTGTAATAACGTTATGACATCTTGATTTAAAAATGAATTATGAATGGTGTCTACTACAGTTTTAGAAATATTCAGTTACAATCTACTTGAAATGATATCTTAGACAGGAAGTAATAAATCAATGTTTTCATGATTTATTTTCACTCTACAGGAGACACGTCCTCCTAATAAATGAGTGAAATTAACTCGACATATTATATATATCCTTTAAAGGGAATCACTGAAAAATTAAACGGGTAGGTATCGCATATGCTATGAATAAAGAGGTTCAATATAGTTTGAAACATTTCAATCTCATTTCAGCTCAGACATCCGATACTTTAACAAAATAGGAAACTCCGAAAAAACATCACCCTTCTAAAAATATACGTGGATCATCGAATGAAAGGCTCAATCGAAAAGCGAATGATGAAAGGGAATATCTTAAAATAAGTTGTTTGCCTTTCTTCAAAGATACAGACGTAGCAGAAAATATTGGATCTCTATATGCCTTCAGCATCTTACTCGAAGAGAAATCTTTATTTTGAGTGACGTCAGTGTATAGTTCGTCTTCTGACGAACAGGCGCTTTAGCAGGCGATCAGTGACGTCATGATTTACACGGACAAAAAAAGCGCCAAAAAACGAGTGTGTGATACCCCTATACATATATGGAAAGAGCGGAAGGAAATTGAAAAGATGCTCTATTGTAGCTTCGGGTCAAATTTCATTATTTCTGGGGTTTCTAAATTTAGAGTCCCCACAAAGACTCCCCCCCCCCCCCCCCCCCCCCCGATCTGATAACATCGCCATATAGCGAAATGCAACAATTTCATTCCATTTTTAGGAAAGAATTCATCTCGCTCTCTTCATTTTCTGGTTGCTGTACAATTTTAAAAGAAAGTACCTCTATAAATGTGTCCTAATATCTATCTACTTAATAATATAAAATTAAAACAAGAACTTTCATAAGCTATATTTAGGTTGCAGGAAATAAAGAAATAAATGGACTTCTATCTTTGACAACAATATTACTTTTTCAGTTGCAATTACTGACTGATTTAATCCCTCTTCAAAGATTTTATCCGGTGATTTTCTCTATTTCATTAACATATTATTCTCGTTTTATTTGAATGTATCTATATTCTTTGTTACAATTGTTCTCTACTTTTAAAACATAATGCATTTACTAAGTGTCATCATTTTCTCGACAATTTGATGAGTATAATTTGATTTTTTTTTTTTTTTTTTTTTGCTTCGTTCATTTTTACAAATTTGTGAGTAGATATTTCAATCAGTTCTATATCTGTTTGTCAATGTGGTGTTAAATTACTTTCATTTGTTCTTTTTTTTTCAATGTGACTCGTTGAAAATACAGTCTGTTTTAATTGTAGGTTTTTAACGTGACTGAATATAATTCAATACAATACACCTATTATTTTCTTGTACCATAAATGTCATTCTGTGCTTTAAAAAATAAACATTACATGGAGAAGAAAAAAAAACTATACAGCATAGAGCATAGAGCATGAACAATAGATCTACATTATTTTGAATAGTCTAACCCTGCTATCACTTTACATCATCATTAATGTCACCAACCAGTTCGACAATATCGCATATCAGTTTCAGTGCTATCATTAATCCATCCTTTCTTTGAATTTCGACGCTCACAAATCCCTTGATATCAATGAAAATCACTGATATGGATATTTTTTAACAAGAAACTCTTTAAGCTCGTCAGTAGAGATCGTGACATTATCAACAGTGACGTCACCTTTTGCCACACAGGAAACCATGGCTTTCGATGGCTAATTTCTACGGTTTCTGATGCATTCCCTTAGGGAGTTCTGTGGATTATTATCGTAATGTGGCTCATCTTGAACAGCGTAGGACAGTCAGTCGATCAGGCTAAAATACTCAACCATATCATGCTTGCATAATTTACACTGAACGACTACCTAGAGTAATTTTGCGTGGGTACACACGATTTAACAAGACTATCTGTTATCGCCATCCACGGATGGACGATATGTGTATTAAATCTTGCATTATCTTCTACTCCCCATACGATTGCATCAAATCAAATTGCATACGATGTTACATCAAGTCATCTTTATTATTATCATAAATTTTCAGCTGTATTATTTGATTGCTCACGATTACCCACAAACTCTGATAAATTTGTCATTTTATTTGCGTAATATCCCCGAACCCCGCTGTAAAGAAATATTGGTATGAAAAAAGAAAAAAAATGAATGATATGATTTCGTTCGCTATATCAGGAAAACCTCGAGCAAGCTCACTAGGTGTAAAAGAGTAATTTTTGTTTACTAATTATGCATATAAACTTGAATACAATAATTATGTCTGGTCTGTCATTAACTTTTAAATATTTCCCAAGTCTGAGAACTGACAACAGATCTTTGCTCGTGTCTCTAATTATTTATCACTGATGGCGAGTTTCCCCTGTACACTTTCTGACGTGCTGGACAGTGGACACTGAGAATATCGACGTCCATTTCGACGAAACAACCCACGGTCATCGACATTTGTTTCGAAGAAGTAATTCACGGTCGGTGAATTTGCCAAGGCGTGCTTAATTCCTAATGAAAGGGGCCATGAAATACCGTGAGTGAGCCTGTATATTGTCGGGTGAGTCATGGTGAAATATAATTTCCTATTTTGAACGCCGATGGAAATCCCTCGGTTAAAAAGGGCTTCGTCAAAATCAAATTGAAAGACAGAGATAGATATGGAGAGGTATAGAGTGGGACATGACAGAGAAGGAAAGAGAGAGTGTGTGCGTGTATGTGTGTGTGTGTGTGTGTGTGAGAGAGAGAGGGGGGGCAGAAAATAGTACGAGGGAGACAAGCATTTGCCTAAACAGATTTTAAAATGTTGAATTAAAGGTAGAAGTCAAGTACACAGGAGTATTATGTGAAAATGAATCAACTATATATTATGTAGTATAAAAACTATATTGCATTGATAAATGTGTTATTTTCTTTTTTAACTACACCTCTTAGTTTCATACTTTATTCATCGCCCCTAAAAACATAAAACCACACGGTCGCAACTATACTTGAGAAAACAACTCAAGGGCAATTCCAATACCCTATTGTATGTCCCATACAATTTATGTTCTGATTACGTCATGTCAACTTCGCACATTTCAATAGGTGACGCACAAGGCAATTACTGATTTTGCCTTGGGTGGATTTCGAAAGTAGTAGCGATGGCGTTTACTAAAAAGACTATTTTTGCGGGCTTCTTTAATAGCTCTAGTAGTTCATATCATAATTACTGTATCCCGACTGTAAATAATAGTTATCGCTAACTCCATGTACACTTTTCCGTTTGGATTTTTTTTTAAATGTCTTGAACACAAATAAAAATCTAATGTAATGTATGAAGTCTACATAATGAAGCTTATAGCATGTACATGATCAGAGTGAAAATAACGTAGTGTATAGCTGTTTTTCCGGACAGATCACCCATTTTCTTTCTGGAGAAAAAAAATGAAAGTGTCACTTGGCAACAAAATTTGGTCATTACATGATTTCATTATCATGGATTTGCAGTTGTTCATAGTCAATTGTGACCGTATTTCTTGATGTTGTTTTTGTTGTTTGAATTTGGCACCTCGACAAAGTTATACCTGTATACTGAAAGGAGTCAGAATTTACAACTGGTTGTTGAAGTTTGGTCAAGGGAGCTAGTAACGGATCATTTCTTTCGGTTGATCTTTCTTTTTATGGATTAGAATGAAATTTCAACCCTTAGTCATGTAGATCCAGCAGAGATGACACATAATATAACCCAGACGACATGATCTGGCGTCTAGCAAGTCTACTATGGATCTCAAATGATCGAATAACAACACACTCATGACTCCTATTTATAGCTCACTATCCAAGGGCTACATTCATCCCAAATGGCTCGTTATAAGATTCGTTGTTTTGTTCGTGCACTAGGTTCTCAGGGCCAAGGACATTATTTCATGTGTTCATCCTCTATTCTGTTAAAGTTTGTTTGTTTTCAGTGTCAAGTTTGCGAGAGGAATAAGATAAATCAGAAAACCGCATAATCATTGAGAGAATATAAGACGGAGCCCGGGCAGTTGCGAGCTTAATCCTTAGCTTACTCGCGCAAAAAAATTTTATTGAGTTAAGATCCTGATTTCCACTTCCTCCTTCATATACTCTACATGTATAATACTGTTCTTTAATAATGTTTTTTATTTTAATGATATGAATAGTTTCAATAGAAAGAATACAATAGAACAAAATGAAAGCAATAAGAATTCGATCGGAAATCCTGTAGGGAAGTGATCTGTCATCATTAAAGCTGTGATAATAGAACTTAAGAGAATTTTGCTTTTTATTCAAAGTAATTGACCCAGAAAAATATACAAATCAGACGTCGGTTTCTGCTTGTTATCAAATACTTTTCGATACATATATTTTCACTATTTGTTCTGTTATAAGCAAAACATATTCAGACTATCAAATTAACGCTTAATTGCCCCTGCATCCTCCGTTTTGAATAATAGGTCATGCATTTGTAATTTCAAACAAACTGTTAAAAAAGGTCTCTACTCACTTGCGGAACTTGCCTTTGTAAAGTTCAAATTCTTGATATGTTATACAGTTATATTGTACCATTTGTTAGAATGCAAATTTCGTCCAAAGTCATTAAAATCATAACATTGTTACAACAAGACACTAATACATTACGAAACAATATATAGTTCACTGTCAAGAAATGAATCTCACCTGTCTAATGTTAGTTCCTCTAGTTTGGGTAGATCACACGCGATGTATTCCAAAGCAGCATCTGTGATACGAGGGCACCATGATAGATCCAGGCACCTGAGCTGCCCCAGGTTCTCGGCTATAAGCTCAATAGCCTCATCCGTGATCTTACTGCACCCAGACAGTGAGAGGGTAGTGAGCTGTGGCAGGCAGTGGATCAGGTTCACTACTGCCTGGTTGGTCAGTTCCCAGCAGGACTTGAGCCTTAGAGTGGTCAGCGTGCCACATCTCTGGGCCACCAGACAGCCCAGGACGGCATCGGTCACATGGTAAGCCTGAAGGTTGAGCTCACGCAGGTGAGGAAGCCTCTGCGCAATGGCCGCCACGCTCTCATCTGCAACATTGATGCAATCACTAATGCTCAGAGCCGTTAACCTCGGCTGGAGACTTGCCCAAAGTCCCGCTTCCGTGAAATCGTTACACCCGCTTAGCTCCAGTGAGGTTACGGTTCCCAGTTGCTCCAGCATGACCTCCAATCCTGCATCTGTCACTGTGGAGCGTTTCAGGGAAATGGCGCGTAGGAACTTCTTTGTTCGTGGACAATGGTCAATAAACTCACAGATGTCCAAGTCTGAAACGCTGACCAAACAAACAGACTCAAAACCACGCAGCTCGAAACTAGATAAGGATGTGAAGTTCTTGTTGCCATCATCCTGTTCCTCGTACAAGTCTCTGCGGTGGAGGATTGGTGTGACCGTCTTCCAGAACATTGGTTGGTACAACACTTCCTTCCAACTTTTACAAACGTGTGCGAGTCCACAACGCTCTACCGGCGTGAGGTACAAGAAGAGTCTTTGCAAGAAGATCTTGTCTAGGAAGAGCTCCTCGAAGCTTTGTGCTGTAAAGAGGACATGGCCTGTTGGTGAGGACTCTGCCCCTTCACATCCATTCTGGACGCTTCCTCCACCCATCTGTTGCTTGGATGCCGACTGTCCATTGTGTGTCATCATAGCGAGTCCCTCGCAAGAAGCACCAAGATCATTTGGACTAAGTTTCACGTAGGTCTCGGCACCACTTGCATCCTGTTGCCGGGCTGGCTTACAAGGGGAACCTCCTCCCTGCTGCATGTGTGTGGGGCTATCCCCATCAGAGTCCGGTATTCCATTCATGTTTGTAGGTGCACTCGTTCGTGATACAAGAACACTGGCCATTAATCTCCAATCAAATCGATTCACCCTCTCCCTTTTGCCATGCGTGTATTAACCCAAGCGTATAGCACAAACCTGTTGGCTTATATGTTGATTGTAGTAGTCGTTGTGCTGTGTGATCACTCTATCCTGAAACAGATGGAAAAACCGTGTGTGCTGATGACAATGAAATTGGCCGACATCAAATCGAAACCGAGTTTCCAGACACCGCTTGTGTCATAAAGCACTCGCAGGATGACGTCGTCACAGCGAGATTGTGATATTCACATGGGGAGCGTGTATCCCCTAACCCGCTGTGCCCATTTGCACTTAAACACACGGTAAATGAGATCAACCACAGGCTTCTATATCAGGACCAGATATGAATACCTTTCTCCGTATCTCCACAATGCATTCGGTTAACGGCGTATTTACCTAGGCGGTGGTGCGATCACAATCACACACACACAGTCATATCTAACCACATCAGTAAGATGACGGCCGCTTGGGAGGAGTTTTGCGTATATTCCTGAAGTTTAAAATGAGATGTACAGCTCAACAAAATGGCTCCTGTTTTCTTCCCTGTTAGTGCGTAGGATGGTATAATAAAGTAGATTGGATTCTGCAAGACGCCGCGGCGTCGGTTTTCGATCTGATACAGCGAGATGCTCACGTAAATATACCGACGTACATAGTGCGTGTGTTGCGGAGATTCCGATCTTCCGATGCAACTTGTCGTGTGGAGATAGCAAAGCCCGCTCTTTCTGCAGCTGTGGAATAAGCAGTGCGACTATGATGCTCCGCAAATAACACACTAGCTGTGTGTAACTGCAAGGCGCGAAACTGTCGTGTGCCCACTTCGCTCATAAAATGAACGTGCATCATACACGGTTGAACCCTAAAATGAAAACATCCGCTGTCTCGTAAACTACATACAGTTAATAGGATTATTACATTCGCTCCCCTCGTCTCTCTTCCCCTGTGTTTCTTCTATACTTAGTGTGCAGGGCTACTTTGTCACGTTTTGAACCATTTTGGTGGCTTCCCGTATCATGCCACTGAACAAACATCAACTCTCTCTCGCAGGGAAATATTCCTTGAATCTATAAATAACTCGGATATAGGTAGCATGTCAGTCAATGGCATGACGGAGATGCCTTCCCTGTCAACACTCGTATAATAATTCCGTGATTGCTTTCACAAGCTCGTAAGAGTAGATCATGTTAAAAGAATAACCTTGATTGCAGTGGATGCTTTAAACGGTCCTATATAGGATGCATTTGAAATGAAATGCACATAATTATAGTTCGACTGTGGTGCATAGAACGACATTACACACAATACATCGCCCACACTCAGTCGTGATGGATGTATAGGAGCATCGATTATGATAATTCATTTGTCCTTTAGGTCCCCGCGCTCTCTCTCTCTCTTCTCTCTCTCTCTCTCTCTCTCTCTCTCTCTCTCTCTCCCTCTCTTTCGCTGTCTTTTCATCTCTCTTTTAATACTTCACCTCTTATTCTTGACAGATATACATCCATTTCAAAGAACTTTGCCCTTTAGTTTTTTCTTAGCCATGTTTTAGTCTTTATTTTCAAACTCCACACCGATACAGAGACCCAAACATACACATTTATAGTTTAGACGACTATACATCATTATAATTATGTCTATTATATAGCGTAGGCCTATATATAAATTATGTATGTATTTATATACATATATAAGTTAAGAGTATACATCACCCATTAATATGTTTCAACATCTATGTTTAGTTACGCTGTTAACTTAACAGTTATGAAAGTCTCCTTTGAAGGACTATCGACATTGTCTTCGAGTACATTTGACAATCACTTACAAATTAATCGATTCTTGGGTTTTTCCAATCAGGCCTGAAAGATAATACACTGTATTAGTTTCGAAACGCAAGCCAGTGATGTGAAGGTAACAACGTTATGTACTGCCCAATTTCTTGGAAATACATCCGTTGAAGGAAATGGGAATTACAATTGCACTTTTAAAGTGAGAAAAAATGTCATCACAAAGCTACGCAATGTTGCTTTTGTAGGTTTTCCCGTTATACTTTGTACGAGCATTGCCTCTATGTTTAATAGCAAAAAACGTTATACAGTGAAACCTAATATGATGACTATCAGCATATTGTTGATCATCGTGATAGTTTATATATTTCAAACTATTTTGTAATCGTTTCCATGACTTCTCTTTTACATTGTTTTTTTTATAGCTCTTTCCATTTTGTTATAAGTGAAATTATAACTGAAAATTTAGAATATGGGGAGCTTTTTAAGATTTTTTTTTTTTTTTTTTTTTTTTGGGGGGGGGGGGGTCTGTTAAGACTTCATTTGTTCTCATGAAGTTTTAAACTCATGAAATGTCCCACATCACACACACATATTATAAGAGAAAGAGAGAAAACTGTATGATTCGCTAAATAATATGTTTGTGTGCGCGCGTGTGTGTGTGGATGTGTGTGAAAGTGTTTGTGTGTGTGTTATTTACATACGTATTGAATTATCTGTCCGGTTCGATCATATCGATCAGGTATTGTTTGTGTTTGTTGATACACAAACGAGTATAAGATAACAAACTTGTCAAATATAAGAATAGTTGATTAAGCGAAAACTAATATATTATTATGCCTCTATTCACTGAAAAAAAGAAACTGCGTTTTGACGAAAATATTATTAATAAGTTGTAAATGGTAATATTCCTTCGATCTCCAATAAAACATATATTAATGGTACTTTGTAAATTTATTTTATTATCGTTTTTTATTTGTGACAGACAAACTCGATAAATCGTTTTTATAAACTTTATTACGATAATGATAATGATAATTATAATAATATTTATAATAATGATAATAATAACGATAATAATAATGATAATGATAATAATAATAATAATAATAATTCTATAATTGAAAGTGGTAAAGAGTAAATGTAGAAGACACAGCATGGAAAGGCAGTGAATGAAGATAACATGTTCAAAAAGACAAAAATAAATGCACAAATCCATGCACCTGTTGCTAGAACACATTATGAAGCTGAAGAGATGGATCCATGTAATACATGTCCCATATTGCTCTATCCTCGCATGCCAAAAATAACGCCGAGCTGTGACTCATCTGAAGCACACTAATTTGTCAGAGTATTTTCTAGTTGCCATGTAGGCTTCCGTTCAGAGCAAGGAGTATACGGAACGAGTGACGTGAATGGCGAAGGAGAAGGGGTGGATGGGCGGGGGGAAGGGGTAGGGGGCTCGACCTCCTTTCATTTCCCCCAAAAACTTGCTAGTGCCAAAATTGGGTTATCGCCATTGTCATGTTCAAAAGAATAAATATTAGACTGCGGTAGACAAAGGAAGAGAGAGAGAGAGAGAGAGAGAGAGAGAGAGAGAGAGAGAGAAATGGTGAGACAGAGGGAGGAATGAAAGAGAGGACAGAAATCTCATAATGATCATTATGGGTATACCCAACCTTGTACACTCGGTGGTATATTTAAAACAAAATCATCACTTAAATAGTAAACTTTCTCTCTCTCTCTTCTCTATAGTCTCTCTCTCTCTCTCTCTCTCTCTCTCTCCTCTCTCTCTCTCTCTAATTCTCCCTGAACACACACACGCACAAACACACACCCTCTCTCTCTTTCCTTCTCCTCTCTTTCTCTTCCTCATCATCAACCCCATCCCCCTCTCCCCCATTTCTCTCTCCCGTTCTCTTCGATTCCCTGTATGCATTCGACGACACAATATACTCATACTCTTCCATGCCTCTGCCCTCTCATGCCCTATTCTCCAAACTTTGCCGAAATTGCATTTACACTTTATAATGTCCCTTTCTATCACCTGCTTGTAAAGGGCATTTAATTTTCCTGGCTATGCCCTTTACACATAAATTATATCGACTAGTTTGGCAACGTCTATGAATAATGATTCTAGCGGAAATTGTTTCCTTCTGATGATATCCCTTCAAACTTCCGGCGCAGGGAAACGATCTATTTAGGTTCTACTACGGTAAAAAGAAACAAGATTGTTTGCCATTGAGAAAGTCTTCTTCAATGAGATTTTGTGGACGACGACAGAGAGAGAGAGAGAGAGAGAGAGAGAGAGAGAGGGAGAGAGAGAGAGAGAGAGAGGAGGGAGAGAGAGAGAGAGAGAGAGAGAGAGAGAGGAGATAGAGAGAGAGAGGGGGGTGGGTAGAGAGAAGGGAAACAAATACGACTTCTCAATTTCGGGAATTTATTTCAAGAAGTGAATGGTTTTTTTATCGAAATGTCATCATGATTACCTCAAAATAAATTTTCGGAACCACGCAGACGATATTATACCCCTAAACTAAAGATTTTGGTCTCCATGAAGATCTTCATCTAAAATGACTTTAAAGAAATGGCAGGAACAAACAATTGTGACCTCGCCTAGATAACTGTCTCTCACTGTGATAATACCCCTCACTTCCTCTCTACCTATCTAGAAACTGTGACGTATCCTGGATGATTTTCCTGGATTTAGGACTTCGGACTTTTGTTGTACAAAATACTTGGCAAGCAACCCCCCCCCCCCCCCCCCCACACACACACACATAAACAGGGAGGAAAGAGAGAGAGAGAGAGAGAGAGAGAGAGAGAGAGAGTGAGGTCTTACTGGAGGGTGAGAGAAAAAAGTAGCAATTTTTACCGGGTAAAGAAATGTGTCTCTCTGAACCCCCCCCCCCCCCCAATCCTGGATCTTCCACTGAAGGTAACGTCAATTTGACTAATTTTCATCAAAAGGACAGAGAATGATGAAAAGCATTTTTGTTAGAAATGAAACGTAATGAGTTTCTCGACATTCTCGACAATGCCTGTGAAGGGCATGTTTGTAATTTCAAAGTGAAAGTGTGCCTCTTAAAAAAAAAATTGTTTAATATAAAGCATGCTTACGCTATCTTCTGATATCAAGGGGAAGGTGGAGGGGGTAATGAATCCTTTGTATAATAACGAGTGTTTTCGCCAATGTCATTCCTTATTTCTTGATTGCAAAAAAATATAACAAATAAAATGTGTGTAGTCACAGCATAATGATGATTTATAGACGAAAAACTCCTTCCTAACTCTAGAGCGTATTAAAATTGTCATAATTCATATCATCAATTTAGTAGCTGGGTGGTGGGGGTGAGCAGGTAATGTGGTTTCAAATGACTTTCTTGAAATTTATTAAAGTGATTATAATGATGATCCTGTTCTTCATATTCAAAATTAATCTGGACACAACAAATTCAGTTTTAACCTATTTTACGTTACCACGTTTTCCTTCATCAGATTTCTAAACAAATCAAAGTGTTTCATTTTGTATTCATGTGCATAATTATGTTTAAAACATTTTATTTGTTAGTCACCGAGAATTTTTTTTAAATCGGGACGTGCATTTATTTCGTGATTTTGGAAACTAAAAGACACATACAAAATACAAAGAAGGTGTCGAAGTGGTCCAACCGAGTGGTCCACCCCTGGAACAGCTTACCACATAACATAGTGTCTGCACCCACTGTGACTACTTTTATGAGAAAACCGAGAGCCCTTCCCATAGGACAAGGGGGTTAATCAACCAAGTATCGAAGTAAGTAAGTGAGTGCTTTTTGACCAAACAAATGATGGCGCTGTTTGAATAATTCTCTTCTCAACGTTGACAAGACTATATTTCGTTCAATTTATTCTACTTCCAGCAAACGTGTAACAAGGTTTGGATATACATGTACATTGATCAATAATGACAAGGTCTTTCTTACAAGGAGAATAAGGAGGTTGAGGAAGAGGAGGAGGAGAAGTAGAACAAGAAAATGGACAAAATGGAATACAAAAACAAATTACGACATACATTTTTTGTTTAAACAGTTTAAATAGCGTTATTAAAGGTACTATGTCCCATTTGCAGGCCCCAAAAATGAAAAGGTTAAATTCCAACGGCGTTTGAAAGATATACTAATTTAGAACTTCCCTAAAAAAAAGATGGGGCTTGAAAATGTCTTCAAGTGGGAAAATAACGACTATTAGTTGTCAAATCGACTTAGGAGCTATAGAGCCAATAAGTAATAGTCTTGATTTTCAGACCATTGCACTGAATGGTCATACGTTTTATGCTGCGCAAAGATTCAATCAGTTTAATTTTGGCCATCACAAGAAGTGGGTTGTTGATGTAGACAAATGCTCATGTACCCTTCACTCAATAGTGTCTGACAGTGAAGGCTAGCAAGTAAACAGGTTTCCTTGCATAATTTGAATATTAGGACACTGCTAACATTTAAATTTCACAGATAGGACATACATGACATATTCATAATTCCTGCAAAAATCTACATAATTTGAGGTTGGCTGCAAAAGGGACATAGTACCTTTAAAAGGGATAATGAAGAGTATTGTAACTCGCTGTCAATTAAAATCAGCATGATTAATAACAAATTATTTAGTTTATTTGTTGCTGATGATTAAGTTGTATGGCGCTTGTCATTCAGTTTTGATTATCTATTTTTCTTTTTTCTTTTATGAACATGTATAATCATTAAAAATAAATATTAATGTTGAACATTTCGCTCTCTCTCTCTCTCTCTCTTTGTGAAAGAATGAAAGTAAGGAACAGGAGGAAAAGTAGAATGAGGATGATGATCATTATTATTATTATGCTCATTATTTAAATTTTCAATTTGGGAACTAAAATGAACTTTCAAGCCTTATAATATTGCTGTAAACTTCGTTTTTGCCCAATCGGATGTTAGGCCTGTTGTGCAATTCTTTTAAATGTTGATATCAATTGTCCTCTTTATTCTACTACACACTGACAAAAGGGTGGGGCAATGTAGTGGCTCAAACCTTTTTATACATTTTGTGGGAATGTGCAATAACAGATTCCGATTCTACGTTTCTGGTTCGCAACGTCGAGGAAGGCACTAATTTGTTTGTTTCGCTAGTTGGCGCTATTGCTGAATGCACTGTTCGACTACCCTCGTAGAAATCCTTGTGGTCCTTTGACGGGATCGAGTTTGCAGAAATTCGGCACTGTTAAAAAAATATATATCATTCATTTTCTTTATAATCATTACATTACATTATTGTTATGGAGGAAACATATGTAGCGTTGACAATCTCAGAATACTGTTTCAAGGCGTACAGAGGGCCTTAATTATTTATTGTGATTTGATTACAAAAAATATTTACGAGGAAGTAAATTTACGAAGAAGATTGAAAACAACATTTTTTGAAGGAGGGAAAGTGAATAATATAATGAACCAAATAGATTGATACCCCTAAGTGTCACCAAGCGGTGCTTTAGGGGAAAAAAAGAAATGTATATAGCAAGATCATACAACTAAGAAGAGAAAGAGAAGAACACGAGGAGAGGGTGGGAGGGGGGGGGGGAATAAAAGGAAAAATATATAACAATGTCCTCCATCATATTCCATACACTTTGATAAAATTGAAATAATAATCATGATGTTATATGCTTATCATTATTTAAAAAAAACAGCACTTAATAGACTAATGCTCATAAACGAAGACGAAATATATAAAAAATATAATAGTTAAATATTACTCTGCAATGTGATTTCTCATACAAGCTAGGGCATTAGCACTATATTTCATAAACCCTGCCATATCCCTTTCACCTCTTCCTTTTCAACTTATATTCTTGCCAACCAAATAATCACCAACATAATGATTGTAGGCCTACCATATAGCTTTTCCAACCAACTAATCGATACCACTCATTTTACCACCATATCTCCACCACCACCAATTCACAACATGATCCATCATTACCAAAACCACCACCAGCCACTACCACCACCATGTACCATTATCATCGTCGCTAACACCACCACCACCACCACCACCACCACCTCTACCATCATCATTAACACCAACACTACCACTGCCACCATCACCACCACCACCACCACCACCACCACCACCACCACCACCACCACCACCACCACCACCACCACCACCATCATCATAATGTATTACGGCCATCGCCAGTGGCGCCGCGGCAGGCGATAGCAAGGCCTCCCGTAGCTAGTTGGCCTAACCTTCAGGCACGAGGTCACTGCCTTCGACAGTCGTGCGCGGAGTGTACGATTCATAGTGCGTGCATATTGTACGCGTACGCAATACCGGCGCGGCGATATAGAGCTCAATGCCAAATCAGCTGTGCTACTTGAGTTTGCGAGATCTCTCTGTATTGCGTTTACGTACGTTGACGGGAAATACATGTACGCTGTGTTGTTATTGGGAATGCCGTAAATCCACTAGAGAAATATAATCATTTGATGCCATCTATCTCGCAAGTTTTCACCATGCCAAATCCATCGGTACGACGAGAGGGACCGATGAAACTTCGGTTGACAGGTAAAGGCATAATTTCGAATATATCTGGAGTGTATTTGATCAGTGTATTTCGTGAAAAAAAGCCCAAAACGTCCACTGTTTATCAAGGAGTGTTCGATCCAGCAATGTTCTTTGTCGGATACCGGGCGCGGTGCACAGTGGTAGAAGAGTGAAGGGCCCCCGTGTACATGATGTATTTCCACGTTGATGAGCTTTAATCATGATATCTTGAATTTAAATCTTCCCGATAAAATAAAGTAGAATTTAATTTTGTGCATATCTAGCCCAGGTCAAGGCCAAGGCCATGTCATTATCAATTAGATCTACCGGTTACGCGGTAAGACCGTAAAGGGGGTAGAGATAACCTGACCATCTTTATTTTACAGCCGTAAATTTGTTCATTTTATTTTTAGATTTTGGATTTTACTGCCTCATGTTCTAAGTACAAGTATTCTATGTCATTAAACAAAGTTTTTGCAGTTACCAAAAAATCGACCATCAGGTAAGAAAATAATAATCAAAATCAAATCTTGAGGGAAAGTAATAAATACAATAATTATAAAAAGTTAAAAACAATTATGAATCATTGCAGTGGAAATGGATAGTGGAGGGCAGTTTAATAAGTTGCAGTCGTGAGCTACATGTTCATGTACTGTACATCTAAAATCTTTGTCATTTTGAATTTTAATTTAATCGTGATCTGTTATGTTTTACATCTGACTTTGTTACCTGGCAATTTTACATGTACCTGCATACATGTATATTGTCGCTCTCTACTATAGCTAGACCGAATTTTCCGTCTCTTTCGTTCGTTAGCCTCTTATTGGGGTAGGGTCGGCTCTCTCTTTAGAGACGGAAACCGTCTATACACATTCCCTTGATAACGCCACGGCCATTTCAGGTCGTAGCGTTTTGCCCCCAAAATCCCCCAAAATGTCATTTTACCTCGTGCACATCCACATGTAAATTAGGCCTAGGCTATAATAAATCAGTTCCACTTACCAACTTGACTGAAATAATCAGTTTAATAGTCCCTTTTTAGGAAATTATGGGTCAAAATCGAAATCCATTTTGAAAATCTTTTTCAACATGGATTTCGATTTTGACCCATAAATTCCTAAAAAGGGACTATTAAACTGATTATTTCAGTCCAGTTGGTAAGTGGAACTGATTTATTATAGCCTAGGCCTAATTTACAATATAAAATGCACGAGGTAAAATGACATTTTGGGGGATTTTGGGGGCAAAACGCTACGACCTGAAATGGCCGTGGCGTTATCAAGGGAATGTGTATAGACGGTTTCCGTCTCTAAAGAGAGAGCCGGCCGACCCTACCCCAATAAGAGGCTAACGAACGAAAGAGACGGAAAATTCGGTCTATACTATAGCTAGATAGCGCCAAATGTCGTATGTCTACAAAGTAATATCCTCTCTATTTTAAAACATTAAATATTATTTGTCAAACTTGACTCTAGTTTAAGCACTTGATTAGACACTCAAAATCCAGACCATACCATTTGAATGTTAATGTAATAAGAGATGAAGACGCTTTTAAATTTTCCAGACTTCCTCTTTAATAGGAAATTAACCCTTGACACGTTAGGGGGGGGGGGCAGACGAGAACAATCAGACCAAGAGCGAAAATGAGAATATGTTCATAGTCTACAGTGGATGTACACATAATATATTGTTGGAGATGCGTACATGTCACTGCAAATTACACACATGTAAAATACTTGTTATTTTAATAGGCAAATATACTTGTAGAAGTAAACTGTACATGTAGACCTAATCCGTAAAGCAGGCAGTTTGGTGCTGTTGATCTCCGACACTTAACAGAAGAGGAAGAAGGAAAAGAACAATTTATACTAAAAAAGTATAGGCTTTGAACAGCCCCAAGACCAAGTGACATGTTTAATGGGGGAAAGGGCAAGAAAAGGTCAATTACCTCTCATCCCTGTCTGTCTCATTGGTGGTGGTCAAGTCTTTTGACCTGAGGGTCATTGTTGTGTGGATCCCTTGAGAGATGACCTGGCTGGTGACCTGAGATGTTATGCATTCCAGGACACACAGGTCTCCTCTCTGTTTAGGATCATCGGGGGTTTTTCACAAAGACTAAGATCGACTTAAGTTGGACTTCACTATGGCAGGCCGTTCATGTCGCTAGTTCCTAAGGGACGTATAAATCGTGGTCACAACTCTACAGAATTTACACATGTTGATACCTGTAGTTCATTATTTGAGGGAAAAATATTATCTAAAGATCATAACTGAGAGACCAATAGTGAGAGCAACCAGTGGCATGAACAGCCTGCTATAGTTAAGTCCAACTTAAAGTTGATCTTTGTCTTTGTGAAACATTCCCCTGGTCTGTAAAATGTACAAGATATGGCATGGTGCAGCAAGTGTCAACGTGCACTACTGAGCAGTGTATTTCACTTGTAACCTATTGACTACTGACATGTCCCTTCCCATAGGGCTCCATGGGTTATGGATTAATTGGAAGGTCAAGATTGTGTTATTAGAATGGTAAATCAAATTTGAAGAAATGTGATGACTAAATTCTGAACACAGAAACTTTCATGAAATAGAAACAGGATTCAGATTCATGAAGGGTTGTCTTGAGAAGGGCTGTCTTTAGCATAATTTGTGAACATTTCTTGTTTTGATGAATCTTTAAAAAAAAGATATACAGTAAATATATTTTTGTCATGATATAGTATGCTGAGCCCAGTCAGCTAGTTTAGTGTAGTAAAATCACAATGTCTGGAAAATAGTTGAAATGGGCCTACATGTATATGTTATTGATTCTTACGAATTCTTACAGCCTCTGTATTCTCATATCAGACTGCCCAGTTAAAATAAGGCAGAGCTCCTCTCCTTGACTACTGATGAGATGGACCTTTTGCCCTACGGAGTACAGATGGACCTTTAGCAGTGTGCTTGAATAGACCATAAATTTGCTGGCAGTGTATGTACATGTGCATTGTTACAAGTGGCAGCTTTGTCCTTAGTACTTCAATAATCACTTCACAGGTTATTGCATCCTTTTGTTCTGAAAATGAGGTTGGCCAGCTGGCTGCAGTGTGTTTTTAAGAAAGAAAAGAAAAAAAAATTGTTTACACTTCAGCTATATACATTTAACATTGTTTTTAGGGGTTGGATAGGTCAGATTGTCAAGTTTGCATTGTAAGCCTCTATGTACAAATGTACAATCTTGAAATTTGCATCAAGTAACCACCTCCAAAAAGTCTGACATTGTGGTCTACTTTTATGATTCTCGCTGTGATATAGTTTTCATGAATAGCGGTATGAAATCAAAGCTTAGATTTAGATTATTCTGGCAGTGTTAAGTTTTTACAAGAAAATTGGACAATGATTGTGACATTGCACACTCGACCACACCGTGCTGTTGAAATTGGGGGAGTTTGAACAGACACGAGTGGGAACCGGAATCGGTTCTTGTCAAGAAGTGCCCAAGCCTAATATTGGCCCTTTCAATTGTGTTGATGAAGACACTCAGGTAGTCGAAATCCCTTGTTCACTTCCCTTTAAAATCGTTTCGATTTCACTCACAGCCAGCTTGACACACTAGTAAACGCGATAACGTCAACATGTGACGTATTTGTCTTGCTTGTATGTGCATATGTCCCGCACGCGTCTCTTTGAATGAAGTCAAATCACGTACCGGTATAGATGGCAAGGTTTGTACTATCATCATAACTAGATAACTAGTTGTCAACCGTGCGGGTACTTGAGCATTCGACTTCCCGTCACAGCCTTACTAGATAACATCATGGACGATCGAGGTGACCATCAACACCAATGTGGAAAAGTTCTTGATTCTGGTATTGGACAAGGTAGACATCGCAGTGGAATGACGCCATCATGTCGCAGTTCACTTTGTCTACGTGACAATCGAAGAGTCGTGAATGATGCGACCATGGATTGTACTTTCACCCAGGACGTCCTCCCTGTGGCCTCCCTGCTTGCTTCACAGTCAAGTGAAGGCTTCAGATTTTGATGAATGGTGCACAAGCCGGTAAAGTGACATCACACACCGGCCAGGTCAGGGCTCTGAACTTCCATTTACATGTACATGTATATATTCATTTATATTGTACAGATAGAGAGTGATTGTAACACGTACAGTAGCCACTGTCACTCCATAGTATGTGTGTACAATTATCATCATGATGATAACATCATTGAGGTGTTCACAATTCCATTAGAAAGTACCGGTGTGTAGGATGCTATTAAAGCTAACTACTCCAATGTAACTGCTAAATACATGTATATAAATGTGTAGAGTACATCAGATCTACATTTATAGTAGGCCTACTAGAATATGACAACTTTGTGTTTCTAGTAATAACGAAACATCTGAAATAATTAAGAGAAAAGAGTAAATATACACTGTACATGTACATGTACTGTAGGTAAAAGTACAATGTAGTATTCGCAAAGAAAAGTTACTAATCTACATGATATGGTCTGGATTAGAATACACCCAATTGTTTTTTGTTTTAAATATCTCCTGACCCACCACGTAAATAGCAGGAATTAAGTTTTTCTGGTAAAACCGGTTTTAGTAGTACAGTATTAAATTGACACCGGTATGAATACCACCATCACGCGCCTAGAAACAAAGTATTAGGCGCATTATAAATGTGAGCTATTATTATTATTATCAAAATTTTCATACCATGATACTGCCATACAGAATGTCTCTGAATTTATACCACTTTTAGCATTCAAATGTATAGTTTGATGTCTATTTGTTCAAGGCATACTACCTATATTAAAAATATAGATGTCCCACGAGTTATACATGTACAGTAGGTCTAAATCTTACATTTATTCTGTTCATAACCCATCCAGGGCAGCAGCGGCGGTGGTGATGACCAGGAATGTTTAATAACTGATATCAATTTTAAATACAACACATCATTTATTCATGGCTAGGCTTGGAATCATGCTAAGATTTCATGCCCCTCGATTGCTTTTATTGTTAGAAAAAT